GGCAACAGGTAAGTAATAAGTGCCGGATAACGATGTGCGTTGTATCATCGCGTGTGTGTCCTCTCTTTCTCTCTCTTTCTCTCTTCTTTCTCTCTCTCTCTCTCTCTCTCTTTACCCGCGTGTGCACCCTTCCCAGTGTCGGGAAACGGATAATCGCGACCCTCTGCACCCTCGGCCCGATTCTCGCTCACCCGAGGGAAAACGACACAGTCCCCGCGGCTACACCCCGCGGACACTTGTAGCTTCCGGGCCCGGTGGAGCGCGTACAACCCTTCCTCCCGTGTGACCAAGTGACTCGGGACCCAAGTGTACGATCTTTTTCCGATCTCATTCGATTTTCCGTATTCCGTAGACGCGAAAGGTGAAGTTTACGTACGTGCGTACGACTTATTTCTTACGGTTTCTGACTGAATTGTTGGCCAAATTTTCTCTTCCGACGCGCGAATTCTCGAAACGCTGTGCTCTTAGAGAGAGAGAAGAGAGAGAGAGAGAGAGAGGGAGGGGGGAGAGGGAGGGAGAGAGATCGTGTCGCGGAAATTTGGTGACGATTTGTCACCATTCCTTCTCTCCCCTCAGCCAATCGAATCACGTCTCGCGAGTCTTTCGACCGGTAATTGCTGGTCAGGTTGCCGAGGCCACTTGGCCGAGCCCGAGTTTCAACGAGGGTGCGAGGGTGGCGAAGTTTCCCCGACACTTGCTGTTCGGAGGATAGTTGGGCGATTTAGGGGATGGCTTGACCGACTTGCGGCAAAGTGGCCCACATACAGTGGTTGACAACCTGATTTTCTTTGTGCAGGATTCTCCTCGAATCCACGTGTGCAATCGAGTCGAAAAGTGTCTTTTTTTTTTTTCTCTCTCGCCCGAAATTTCCAATTTGTTTCTTTTCGAGAAAACACGTTGTGCCGGGCACGTTAAATTATCATCTCTAAAATGAGATGTTAAGAACGTTCAAATAATCTTTTTTTTTCTCGCATTCCTGTCGAACTTTAAAAAACGGAGATCGATCTCGAAAAATTAGGATTATCGATGATTATTGGTTTACAAATTTTGCGAGAAAAAGATGTGACAGGAGTGAATGTGCGTGAGCTCGAAAAAGAGCCGGTAACATGAATCTGTAAACAAAGTATATCGTAAATAAGAAGGAGAACTTTTTACAAGTCGTTTCCAATTTCGCATATCTTTGACAGGTATTTTCTGAACGTTATCTACGGAAACGGAACGGAAGCATAATTGCAACAAATTTTCTGACACGGTGGTCTTGGACGTTGGTGTGTTAAACGCGTACGTTTTTTTTTTATCGGTCAACTTCTTTCGCTACGCAAAACTTGTCTCGCGATTAATTTCTTTGTTTCCCGTGGACTGGGCAGAAATGCGGTTATTATTTATTTATCTTGCTCGCGCCTCGAGTCAGCGAGGAGAGACGTGATCGAAAATTGACAGCTCTGCATATCTCTTGCGATATTTCCTGACGCTTGATTTTTTTTCTTCTCCTTCTTCTTCTTCTTCTTCTTCTTCTTCTTTACGATTAATAAACTCGTTTTTTTTTCCACACTGTTGAAATTTTCGACTCTAACATCTTATCGAACTCAACGTAATTAATAAAAATTCACGCGTACGTTCAATTATATATATTTTTTTTCAACTTTTACAATTGTTATACACAATAACCCGTATACAACTTGCCTCTATAATTAAATTACAGAGTTGAGTAAATTTTGATAACAAACATTTATCAAACATCGGTCGGCACAATCCTGTGCAATAACGATTAATATTTCCAACAAAACATTACGCCAGTGTATACACACATAGTGTACGATTAATAACAAAGTGAACAACAATTACGCAATTTCGCTACTTTAATAATCCCTCGAATCGACAAACCGCATCTCTCATTGAGACAACAATCCGGATTACTCTACGCGTGAAACGAAATGATCCTCGTCGAACGAAAAAAAAAAAAGAAAAAAAGGAAAAATTCCCGAGAAACAAAAAAAAAGGGATTAAGATCAAGATTAAGGACTTAATACTCCTCCCTTATTAAAGCTCTCTTCCCTCTTCCATCCTCGAATATAAATACTCGATAAAATACTCTAGAATTCGTGGCGGGCACAGGATCACGAGGTAACCGGGTCGGGGCTATCAATGCCGCATAGTTCCATAATTATGCGTATTGATTAGGCCGCGTGGAGAGGTGGTTGGTCCTCCGCTCGTCGAATCCTTCGGCGGCGGAGAAAGCCCGTTTATCCGCGAATTTGTGAAACGCGGGGACAATTATATTGGCAAAGCTTGTCGTCACGTCCCCTTTCCCGACTTAATTCGCTCGGACGTAATCGCAAATGGAATTGCAGAAAAGATCGGTGGCGGAGGAGGAGGAGGTGGAGGAGGAGGAGGAGGATCGATGAAGCGCTGTATAACCCGCTGACACGTTTCGGAGGAAAGTGAAAACGGCCAACCGTTTCGAACACGAATTTTTCCGTGTGTACAATGCGATATAATTCAAGTTCGATCTTATTCGTCGAGGGATCGGATTCGGGGAGCTCTCTTTAGGCCCGCGAGACGGAGACCGATTCTTTTGTCGAATCGAGTCGACGAATGAGTCAGGCAACGGTTTCGGTTTCTTGGAACGCTGACAGGTCCGCTCCGATGACAGATACATGGTTTTATGATGCGGGGGCGAGCGGTGAGGGGAAATGTGTGGTCTTTTTACTGTATCGTATATATGTATATATATATAGACATATCGCGAAAATTTTTCTCTCTTATTTTTTTCGTAATAATCAGAGATACGACATAACAAGGAGAAAAAAGTAGGGTCGAATCGCTCGAGCAAAATCGAAGTAACAAGGACCAAGAGTATAGAAAAATTCGCTACAACAAGCGCATAATTGGTCAATTGATCGATTGACCTCGAAAAGAAATTTTCCAAAAACTCGTCTGAGGAATCGAAATGCGTACGGAACACACGGATTACTTTATCGACGGCCGATCCCGGAATCGACGTTGAGCGTTCTCGTTAAGAAATTCCACGTCGTCGGTCGTCCGTCAGTCAGGCAAAA